GACAGCTGAAGAACCCAAACCTAGAAAAAAACCCTTTATTTGGTGAACATAAACAAATCACGCAACTTTTCTCAAAAGCAAATAAGCCAAAGCTCGACAATTAAGAAAAAGTAAAGTCTCTCTTTGTAACCAAGAGTCTTAAGCCCACAAATGGGAATCTGAGTTATCTCCGTCCTCCTCTTGCTTTTTTAGGTCCGGATTGAAATAATAGTAACTCAAAACAACAATTTTTTTTCTTTTCGTTTTGTATCTAACCCGTGAATCATATGTTTCGCTAGAATACGAAATTAAAAAAAATAAACATTTATTAAAATACTTTCTAATTTAGTATGTTTGGAAGCTTGGAAAGTGGTCCAAGGAAACCGCTCTATAAAGTCATCCCATAAACCACAAATCAAAAGTATCCTCACTTAACCTTTTTCTCGTTCTCTTTCACCAAAACTTGAGATTCTGAATTGTTAATTTTCTCTCATCTCATGTACAATTTTATTCACTATCTTCAATCCTTATTTTATTTTCTTCCAAATCTTTTCTTTAGTTGTTTGCTTCTCAAAGCTTGGTATGAATCTTTACAATTATTCACTATTTCAGTCCTTATTTTATTTTCTTGTAGATTCTCAAGTTTTCTTCTTCCAGTGAGAAATGGCAGGTACGGTTTCATGTTCAATTTGATATATGTTTCTTTTGTTATTTTGAGAGTCTGAGTTACTTCTTTTGTTATTTTGAGACTGTGAGTTGCTTTAGAAAACAACATGTACTTTTTTAGTGGTCACGAATTTGCCAATGAACGTACCAGAAAGCAATCTCTCTACATTGTTCGGGAGTTACGGTACTATCTGAGGCACGACAATCCGAAATGGCTCCCAGGTTTAATCTTTTATTGTATTTCTTCAGTTTAGCAAAACAAAATTAACAATTCTGAATTTCTAAAAAAAAAAAATTTAAGTGTCCAGAGTATGGGAGTTTGCTTCGCTTTTGTGGATTTTGACTCAGCTAACGCGGTCCAAGCCGTGCTTACTCGTACCGAGAGCAATCCATTCAAGATCGGAACCCATAAACTTCGTGTGAGGAAAAAACAGACACCCTTCGTCTAAAAAAAGGAAAAAAGAGAGAGAGATATATGAGATGTTAATCCAAAACTATGTTATGTATCATTTTAATAAGGATGTTAATCCAAAACTTGTTTCTCATTAACTGAATTGTGGTTGCTTGTTTCCAATTTTATTCCTCCCTCTAATTCGTGGAGAAATGTAGGAAAGCCTAACAATTGATTCTACTAATTCATTCTACATAACATAATTGTGTAGAAATGTAGAAATGTAAGAAAGCCTAACCCTTTATTCTATTAATTCG